TTATTTCTAATGTTCCAAAGGTTACACTGCATTAAGACCTCACTCCCAATCTATTATTTTAAATTGGGCTAAAGAATAGTAATTGAGTGGTACATTAAATTTTCCAGTATTGGAGCAGTTCAAGTTGCCTGCTGTACAGATAGACACCTCTAAATAAGAATATATAGGCAACTTCAGATTTCAGTTATGCTAGATTTATTTTTCTAAAATATTTCATTACAGACTTGTTAAAATATTAGAAGTGTACAGGAGATCACCAAGTACCACAGTTTGGGCAGCAGCCTATTAGAAACATCCCTTTTCCTATTATTGTCTTTTCATAAAGCAAAAATAGGTCACAGAGCAGACTAATTTCAGTAATAGTATTAAATATGAAAGACAAACATCACTATTGTACTTTTCCTAGTCAAACCCAGGACTACACTTTAAAACCACAATGAAATATATTTAAATATATTTAAACAGCATGCATTTAAGCACAGTGTTTTAAAGTTTTCTCCTAGTTTGTAAAATGTAATTATTAGAGTAATAAAGTAGTTTTAGAATGTAAAATAAATAGACTAAACAAAGCCCAATTTGAGAAATAGCGACAACAGAAGACAGATGAAATTTCTTGTGAGACTTTGCCTTTTAAGTAGGTGGCTAGCTTATTATGTAAATATTGTATATATTAAAGACAATTTTGTGCAACAAGAATCAATATCAATTACAGACTTTTCGAATCAAACCCTGAATGGAAGCCATTTTAATGAAAAGTGTATGTCAAACTGATGACCCAACGTTTCTGTGTCACTGGATTCACCTGAGGTCAAAATCACACAGTATTTTCAGACTTCTTTTTCCCTGTTTAAGTCTTCCAGTCCTCAATCATGTAATATCAAGTGCATGATCCTGCTGCCATTGTTTCCAGGGCATTCAAAAGAGCAAACAAGAAATGAAGCCACTTCTAGACCTTCATTGCCTTTTCCAGTATAGCTTAGGTAGGAACCTCGAATTGACAAAAATGTAGGAAATAATACTTTCATTATTTAGCCCTGCTCTGCATTATCCTCAAAGGCAAACAAACTTGTGATTTACTTTGCCTGATGTTTCATTCCATATGCCCTGAGCAAGTGGTTAAGTGCACTTTTTAAGCCTTAGTACCAGAAGGCACTGTCTACTGCCATTTCAACCCATTATGTGTCTGGAGGAAAATAAATAAATAGTTAAAAAATAAAAAAATAAAAACCAGCCAGACCCTCTCCTCTCAAATCAAGACTCTGGTTACTTACAGCAGTTACAGAAAGACATAAAGATTCTACAGATCACTCTAAGCAGAACAATTCAAAACCTATCGTAGTTCAGCTCTAACCTTATTACATAACATACTAGGCTAAAGTACAACTTAAAATCACCAGTTCTGGCTATCCACATTTGGCACAAATCAAGGAGATACTCCAATTACAAATGAGGTCTAATTATCATTATTTGAACCTCTACACATAAAGTTCCTTTAAAAAAAGATCTCCACTAATGACTGCCACCTCTTATAGAGTGCACAGGTTTTGTCTAAATTGTGTTTTATTCAAGCTGAATATTTGCTTCAAGTTCAGTGTACAGCATCCCCGGATACCATGTCTCAAAAGCCATGTATTCCTCTAAAATTTGAAAATATTACATAGACATTAAAGCAAGTAAAAAAATGATCAAATTATGAGAAATGTTCATTAAGGCATTACTTCCATAAAGGTTTAAAAACACATTATTAAAAAGCTTGCAGCACTGAAATACATATGAACATATTAATGTCATACCTCATGATACCTTCTCAACATTGAGGGAAAGAAGAACTTAAAGAAAGCAAGCCACCTCTGCTGTGAAGCCATATCAGAAACACAGTAATAAGCAGTATTTACGTAGGAATACTGCAGAGGAACTTAAGTTTGTTATTGTTGGATGAATGAACAGAGCAGTGTTAAAGACTCCTAGTCATCTACTCTAGTAATAAGAATCCCAACCCAAACCAGTAATTAGTAATTCTTAATTGCTTCCATAAGTGACATGGTTTTCCCCCACATATTAAGCTATCTTATTTTTCCTCTAAATTTGCAACTCCTTATCCTGTCTTTATCCCATCAAAAAGTGTTCCTCCTCACCTCTAGATTAGAAAACACTTCAGACTTTTCTCATATTCTGACTCATATTCTAAAAGAAACTAGGAATAAGTCTATAATGAAAATCAAGGATGTCAGAATTCACCAGCTATCAAAAGAAAGAAAAATGCCTTAGTAGTACTATAAGAGAAAGTCTGGAGAAAAATCACACCAGAACTGCAAGATTCCAATCACCGAGGAAGCAGTCACTACTGGGTAGAATGTACCATCATAAATTATTTTTCTAAAAAGAAAAAGACAGAAACTAATCTGGACACTACTGCAGCTTGTTTGTATGAGGAAATACACAAATGTAGAACACCACCGAGACATTCTTTACTCAGAGCTAATTCTTGCTAGGTTGATTTACATTCATTAATTGCTAAAATGTATTAAGATAAATCAAAAGAGGCATACTTCAGATAAAAGTGTCTCATGTTAATCCAGTTTAACCAATGCAGTCTAATCAATCCACTTTAAAACTTAATTCAGATTAAATTTGCAAGTATTTGCAGTCAGACAAATTCTGAACCATAGGTCTTTTGAAGGAAAGATTTTCTAAAAGAGTAGACTAGATGACTATATGACACATATTTGTCAAGAGAATATTCTAAAAGCTTTTCAAAAAGCCCCTCAACAACACCTTTGAAAATGTCATCCTTCACAGGGTGGAAAGGCACTTTCATGAATAAAAAAGGACTAGATAATAGAAAAGCCAAAAACCCAGTTACAATGGGAGGCAATCATCAGATGTCCCACAGGGATCTATAGCGGTAAACCTACTGTTCAACAGATTTGCAAGTAACCTAGAAGAGGGCTACCTAGTGAGGAGACAGTCTGCCGACACAAAATTATTCAAGGTAATCTGAACTAAAACAGAGCCTAAACAGTTGAAGATGACTTACTAGTGATACTTAAAAATTGCACAGAAGTGATGCAGCTGGCCTTGAAACACTAATAACAGGAATTTAAAAAAAAATTCTACACATACTGATGGACCCCAAACCATTTCTAGGGAAAAATATCTTGGAATCATGAATATTTTCAGAGAATTTTAGAATTGTTAAGTTAATGTTCTGCAGAAGCCGAAAGGCAGATAACACCAGGAAAGTGAGATAAAAGATACAAAACAAGTAATATCATAATGTCACTGCATAAAATTTCTTCTTCATACTCTGACTACTGGGCACGCTTCTGGTCACTCCACTTCAAAAACCACACAAGTATCAGGAAAGACAAAGAGAAGAGAAAAAGGCTGATCAGAGATACGGAATATGAGGAGAAAGCAGAATTTTTAGGTTAGTAAGCATGATAATGTGGATAGCAAACTCAAGCTTCCAGTCAGCGGTTGAGAAGGTACATCAGCAGTCCATCACACAATGAACTTGCTCCTATCTTTAAATCCCTCTCCCTAAAGCACCAGGTTTTGGGGCTGGTGGAGATGAGATTACTCTATTAAGAGGACTTTTGGACTCAACCAGTATCACTCTTCTTTAAATGGCCTTTTCCCACATGCATATTTTCTAAACTCCTGTCACTCTAAAAACTATACACACAAAACTAATAAAGCCTACCTCAGAGTGGACACCTAGCACAAACTAGCACTGCTTAGATCTCTGGCCCACAACTTACCAAGTCATTAAATTGTAAAGCATGACGACATTATTAACACATTAACAGCCAAATGAAAACATTTTTATGATTTTAAAAAAGGAAGTTTAAAGAGATCCAATTATTATCTTCAGAACACATCAGACATGCATTTTTCAGTTACAACTTTTGAAGTGTGTGGAGAAAAGGAGGCGGAATACAGCTAGATTTTACTATGCACAGATCTCAGTCCTCAACAAGTATCAGACACAAAATAGATCTCATAGATCTTTGCCTGGGTATACCTAGGATAAAAGTTTAAGGTACAAATGTTGACACACAAAAACAAAGGAATAAAAATAAGCACTCTTTTCAGATATGCAAGAAAAAATCAATTAAAGGGCAAACTGAAATTGACCTAGTCCTAAGCTTTACTGTAAATGAGTCAATGGTCTACAAGAACTGAGTAGTTTTTAACTGAACTTCCTAATATTTCTTACAGTTAGTCAGATATATTTAGCTTACTATCCATCCTATCACTTCCTAAATGGCTTCCGTAGATGAAGAAGATGAAGACAAGAATGAAGTCAAGATGAAGATGAAGACAGGAGTAAATTTCAGATTGGATGACCTAAAGAGACATTGCTACGAAAGATTTTTAGGCACCTCATCATTGACATTCACAATCTCAGGCTAACACAAGTGAAATTTATAACATGAATGAAATCAATTCAGGCACCAACATAAAAATTTTTCCATCCAGTCTACATTGATGTCATTTATTTTAGTGGGTAAGTGTTCACCATTTACCTAAACTAAATCATGACAGAACTATCAAAAAGTTTATTTTTACCTTAAGTGTTTTTCTATTTAATTGTATTTAATTCTGTTCATGCTTTCGGTTGTGTTTTACACAGTATTAAATTAATTACAATTCTAAGAAGCACCAAAGAATTTCTTTGCCCACACTCCCTCACCCTCCTGTTACTTTCAAGTTCATTCAAGACTGTATCATTTGGCTGCTTCTCCTATGTCCAAATGTAAGACTCCTTTAAAGACAGTGGCATGCTCTTGCATAGAGGAATAGGGTAGGTCCCTTAAGTTACAATCCCAACTTAAAAATGAGCCCAGAAATACTTTCCCCAGCAGAAGAGGTCAGGGGAAAAAAAAATCCGTGTAAAACACGTGTGCAAAAGTGTGTGTTTGTATGTATGTATATTGCATGTCAATGTAATAAGGTCAGGAATCCTTACTTTGTGTCTTACAGTAGACAAAAACCAAGGCAATTGTGTCATGTCAACTCACAACCACTCTTGCCATAGTAAGATCAATGTTTAAAACACAGTTGTAGATCTCAGGAATTCCAGTAATGCTTTATCAAATGTTGAAATTTCAAACTCAGATCCTCAGTAATTACATAAACGAAATACCACCTTCCTAAATGTGAAAAATATGCTTATCTTTTTCAGAAGTGTCTGAAGGGGTTTGAGGGTTGGATTAGATGACCTTTAAAGGTCCCTTCTAGCCCAAACCATTCTGTGATTCTGTGAAGGAATACATCCATTTTCAAACATAATAGGTGCAAGTTATTTCAGGACAATGATATGACATTATAAATATGAACTTCCAAATTTATTCTTTAACCCAAAGTCCAAAACTTACTGATGAAGATAATTTCTGGAAGTTATTATTAAAAAATTACAGGGAAAAATGTAAAATAAGATGTACAACAATCATCCTGGAGAGCCTACAGCACCATATCACTGCTTCCTTCTTGAAAGAGAAGCATGATTCAGATTCAGATTTTGACTTTTAGTTTATTCCTATGACTGCTCTGTTCCAAAGACTGTTCTCCTACTGCTTACCACTTTCTGATATTCTGTACAACCTCATTATTGGAGAACATAAGTACGTCAAAGTAGTTCAAGTACTGCACGTCTTTTTTTTCCCCTTATTCAACTTAAAAAGGGATTTTCTTTTAAAAAAAATTCCTTGTATTTAAAACCTGAAATATTTACTCAGAAGTACTAGTTGTATACAATAGCTACTTTAAGTGTTAAACAGAATATTTAGAAAACAACTATTTTCTCTTGTACAATATGTAGAAATAAGATGACAAACTCACTTGGCAAAGTGCCGGAAAATGTGTATAATATCATACACAATCCATGAGATTGCAATCATCAATCAAAATATTGCACACATTTTCTGAAAAAACAGGTTAAAATACGTAATACTTATTTGATATGTAATTAGCAGCAGTATCTTATAGCCTCTTTTGATTCTGGTATGAGCAATCCAGTAGAATTGCATTTTCTTTACATCAGTTACGAAGTTTGATCATTAGCTCTTAGTGGTCAAAGATTTATTTGTTTAATCTGCTCAGTAAGCATGAACTGAGACTACCTTTTTCTTTTAACATTCCAAACTTTGCCAAATTCAACTACAGAAAATAAAAGATTCACTGATTTAGAAACTATTTACTGCTCTATCATCAATAAGTATGTAATTATATGAAGCTGAACAGTCCTATTTATAGTACCTACAGAAAAAAAATTATTGACTGATCAAAATCTGTCACCTTTGGGGTATGATGCAAAACATAGCTAATGGTCTTCAGCCTTACACTATAATTTAGGATAGACCACTAAACGTTTTATCAATAATTGGGACTGTGAGAAGAATTCGGGAAGTCAATTTAATCTAAGGATAGATAATAGGAATAACGCAAATTTTACTGTTAAATGCCACAGAATCTTAAATATCCAGAAGGTAAAAACATTACTTCAAGAAACACTGCAACACACTCACAGCAGCGTGTCTGGTACCATGGAAAGGTCAGGTGATTTGTGGGTAGGGAAAAAGATTTAGAATAAAAATTTTTAAACCCCACCCCAGAGTAGGAAGACAACAGGCTAAAAATCCTGAAGTTAAGTGCTGCCTTGCCCTTGTTTTCATTTCAACCTACACACTCCATGTTCTAAACCTGCTATTCATCTTGGCCTAACAGTACTAGCAATACTCTATTCAACATTTCCAGGGATCTCTTTCAAAACCAGTTCCCAGATCTAACCAAACTGATGCCATCTGATAGCTCCTATTTCCTTTTCCTTAGGATGGTGAAACATCATAGTTTATGTTAAAAAAATTATGTTGTATTTCTCTAATATATCTACTTCCATTTATGGTCCAAATTCAAAGGAGATGCTGTGATTTCTATCAGTTAACAAGGAAAATAAGACACTGTGCATAAATACTTACTGTAATGTTATCCAAGAGTTTGGCCATATGCTTAATAATTTCACCATGGTGTGCTGGCTGGGTTTGCAGCAGTTTCTTAATGACAACGACACTTTCAGCAACTACAATTTCTGTTTAAGACAAAACAAATTATTAATTTTAAAAGAATTTATGCAAAAGAAAAAGCCATAAATAATTGATTGTAAAAGATGTTCTCAGTTTTCAAAATATGCCTTGCAGAATTTAATTCTATTTACTTGGTAACAAAGATGTAAACCATTGTACTAAGTAATACAAGTTCAGCTTCCAGAATCAATTTATAAGCAGTAAAAAGAGGAGAGGAATGTTCTCAATGTAAAAATATCATCCTACTACATACTTTTTTGAAATTGCCTTTTAGTAAAGCTGCACTTTGTTTTTTTCCTTTTCAAACTGAGGAACAGCATGAAAAAACATCTGTTTTTCATTGAAATTATGCATATTCATGAGTAATTTGCTGTCTGGCTTAAAAATACAAACACTTGTTTAATATTCAAAGAAATACAACATTAAACGTAACAGCTCATTCATAAACAAAAGAAATATCTAAACCTTTCGTTTGCATTTTTTCACCTTCTAAACAGTCCCTCTCAGGTCTGTAATCTAATCTCTATTACATTCAAAAGAAGTTTCTAAATAGCAAGCTGTTGTAAGATTTATGCCAAAGTCATGCATTGGAGCGCTTAACTACTGTAACAAGTAACATTCACAGCCTGATCAACTTGTATGAAATGTACAATTTTTGAAGCTGAAAAAAATCCACTGGTGCAGAGGTAAGCTTCTACGCAAGAGTAAACTCATGCGGTAAGGAAAATTGTAGGAAAGTCAAACACGACCAAAGCTGAAACCAAAACAAAGACTGATGTAGGAGTTTGAAATAATTCTGATTATCATTTATATTACAAAAAGGGAGTAACTACTTCTCCTAAACTATCAATGTTTAAAACAAAGAAAAAGCCAAACTACCATTCATTAAATATCACAGTGGTATTCCTACATTTCAAGAGTTAATCTGACGCATGGACCATTCATTGAGTAATCAAGCAAGCTGGTTTCAAAAGAATGGTATGGGGAAGAGATCTCTAAAGTTTTTATGATTTGTTTTTAGAAAGCAAACTTCTTTATAGAGAAAGGTTTTTCAATAGCTCTGAGTATGCGTTTTTATGCCATAAGCCTCTGAAATGCTTAAATTTTAGCTTGCAGATTTCTGTGTCATCCTTTGACGTGACATCTCAGTCATTTTTCTAGGCTAATTTCTTGATGCAAGGTTAACATGTCTACTTCACATATCTTAAGGTCTTGCCCCATCCTACAGGTGATTTTAATTTAGATTGTGTTTTGCCAGATATTAAAATAAGACAATTCTGAAAATTTTAATATTTAGAGTGGGGGACACTGTAATGACAAGTTTCATCACTAAGTGTTTCGTGATAATACTTAATGGTTAAGTAAAATAAAACTGAACCCAAAAAACTGAGCAGACATGAAGTCATTACTAACAACACTAGTTGACAATGTAGAATCCATCATGATAAAATGAACTGCAATAGCTGAAGTATCACCATAGGAACTATAATGCAATCTGTGCGAGCAAATTTAAAGAACTGAACCAGAACTGTAAGCAAGTGAACTAGTATAGTTCCTTTTACATGAGTCTAAATACCAAAGAAGAAAGTATAAACAAAAGCAAATGAATTTGTATTAGAATAAGGACAGAGATAGTCGTGAAAAAAAGAGGCTCCTTGAGGCTTACTTTGTGCACATGAAGAATCCTCAAAATGAGCATAAAATAAAAGACACATATTTAGGTTCATAGACAAAAAAAACAAAAATAAAAACAAAAAACAAAAGGGGGAGATAAAATTGGCATTCTGAATGAGCAGTAAGAAAATTTAAAAATCTAACTCTGCTAGAATTATCAAAGAAAAAGAGCATACAAAGCAACAATAAATGAATGCAAAAATTTCAAAACACAGCATAAATTATTTTGTATCTAAAAGGTCATTAAATGTAAATCAAATTCTTAAAATGAAGACTAAATATCACAGAAAATCTGATTAGGAATGCCTTTACCAATACAGGAGACTACAAGAGGTATCAGCAACTTCAATTTTCACAAGTCATGGTAAAAATCCTAGTATAATGTTCACTGCTAATTTTCTTTAAACAATTTTGAGGTAATATGGAAATGACTACTCTGAGTAGGATAACCTCTGAAGATCCTGGAGTATGACAACTTCTCAAAAACCTAAAATATGTCATCATACAATGTTCCATTTTGACAAACAAAGATGTATATAAAAAATTAACAGTGTAGTGGACAGTAACTTCTGGGGACCAAATTACAGACTTTTTAATAATTCAGCATTTGGCCACGTTGTAACAGAAACTCACACAGTAGCAAAGACTGTGTTACTACAGAACATTCAAAAGCTGCATTCTGAAATACTACATTTGATACTGTTGATGTTGAGTCAAGTTTTCTTTCACTTGTATTAACCAATACTTGCAGAAACTAAAACATGTAACTGAAGACTAATTTATCTACAGTCTATAATTTGTATAATGACTATTTCTAAAAGCAGCAAAACTACATCAACTGTTTTTGGAAAGAATATACCAATTGAATCTCATAGCAAGGCTGTACAAGAGATTAAGTACACCCTCACCAAATTTGCAGATGACATCAAGCAGAGTGGTGTGGTTGACATGCCTGAGGGACAGGATGCCATCCAGAGGGACCTGGACAAGGTCAAGAAGTGGGTCCATATGAACCTCATGAGGTTCAACAAGGCGAAGTGCAAGGTCAGCACCTGCGTCAGGGCAGCCCCCAGTATCAATACAGGCTGAGAGATGAAGGGATTGAGAGCAACCCTGCGGAGAAGGACTTGGGGCTACTGGTGGATGAAAAGCTGGACATGAACCAGCAATGTGTGCTGGCAGCCCAGAAAGCCAACTGCATCCTGGGCTGCACCAAAGAAGAGTGACAAGCAGGTCGAGGGAGGGGACTCTGCCCCTCTACTCAGTTCTGGGGAGACCCCGCCCTGCAGTACTGCCTTCAGCTCTGGGGTCCTCAGTACAGGAAAGATAAGGACCTGTTGGAGCAGGGCAAGAGGAGGGCCACAAAAATGATCAGGGGGGTGGAACGCCTCTCCTATGAGGAAAGGCTGAGAGAGCTGGGGTTGTTCATCCTGGAGAAGACAAAGCTCCAGGAAGAACTTACTGCGGCCTTTCACTATTCATGGGGGGCTTATAAGAAAGATGAGGACACACTCTTTACTGGGGCATGTAGTGATAGGACAAGGGGCAATGGTTTTAAGCTTAAAGGAGGGTAGATTCAGACTAGATACAAGAAAGAAATGTTTTACAATGAAGGTGGTGAAACACTGGAACAGGCTGCCCAGAGAGGTGGTAGATACCCCATCCCTGGCAACATTCAAAGTCAGGCTGGATAGGGCTCTGAGTAACCTGATCAAGTTGAAGATGTTCCTGCTTATTGCAGGGGCGTTGGACTACATGACCTTTAAAGGTACGTTCCAACACAAACCCTCCTATGATTCTACGATTACTTGGGTTATTAGAAGATTATGCAAATGGTTATAACTTGTCCTGGTTTGGCTAAAATGGAAGCATTTCTCCTTTCAGTAGATTTTCCTTCAGTTAAGTTTTTCTTAAGTAACTGCACTTTCTGAAGATGACTACAGGTTTTTCAGGCAGTGCCTGCTTTTAGAGTTGATGGTGCTTGATGTCTGTAGCTGTTGCTGGGGTAGAAATGGGATTGTTATGCAGAAAGGCCCATGTGCGTGCTTGTTCCCTGCAGGCTCTCTTTTGGTCCCTGCTCCACGTGGGGCAAGGTGGAAAAGGGTCGCACTCACAGGAAGCTGAGAAGGAGACAGGTGACCAAGGACTGACCAATACAGTATTCCATCCCATACACTTGGATACTCAGTATAAAGCTCAGGGATCATAAGGGTCAGCCCTGTTTTCCTCATGGCTGGCATCCTGGTAGGACTCCATTCCCCTGCCTCCAACCTTGATCCGTGCATTTCTGAATCTGATTCCTTGCTCGTGTGGACTCCAGTCCAGGACATCCGGGTGCCTGCCCTGCTGCATGAGCACTGCAAGCCACCACGGTCCCATGGTCACCATTGGGAAGTTCAATATTGGTTTCATATATTTCTACTCCTATTATTATTAGTATTAGTACTAATATTATTTATACTCTTCTTCATTGTTATTGTTTTATTGTAGTTTGTTTTAACTTTCCAAGGCACAGGTGTCTCTCCCTTTTCTCCTCTCCTTCCCCTTCTGGGGGAAGCATCCTCTAGAGAGCATCTGCCATCTGCTTTAAGCACTGGGCCAGCCTTAAATGGTGACATAACTAAAGTTAAAAGGCAAACAGTAGAGCTAAGTATCATAGAATCATAAAATGGTTTAGTTTGAAGGAAGCTTAAAGATCATCCAGTTCCAACTCCCCTGCCATGGACACTTTCCACTAGACTAGGTTGCTCAAAGCCCCATCCAACCTGGTCTTTAACACTTCCAGGGATGGCGCATCCACAGCTTCTCTGGGCAACCTCTTCCAGTGCCTCGCCACCCTCACAGGGAAGAATTTCTTCCTAATATCTAATCTAAATCTTCCTTCTTCCAGTTTAAAGTCATTGTCCCCTTGTAAAAAGTCCCTCCACAGATTTATTGTAAGCCCCCTCTAGGTATTGGAAGGCTGCTCTAAGGTATCCCCAGGGCCTTCTCTTCTCCAGGCTGAACAACCCCAACTCTCTCACCTTGTCTTCACAGGAGAGGTGCTCCAGCCCTCTGAGCATCTTTGTGGCTGTTGTCTGGACTTGCTCCAACAGGTCCATGTCCTTCTTGTGTTGGGGACCCCAGAGCTGAAGGCAGTACTGCAGGGGGGGTCTCATCAGAGCAGAGTAGAGGGGCAGAATCATCTCCCTCAACCTGCTCGTCACACTGGTTTTGATGTAGCCCAGGATATGCTTGGCTTTCTGGGCCGCAAGCTAACATTGCCAGTTCATGTTGAACTTATCAATGAGCACCCTCAAGTCCTTCTCTTCAGAGCTGCTCTCAATCCCTTCTCCACTCAGCCTGTGTTTGTGCTTGGGATTGTGCCAACCCAGGTGCAGGATCTTGCCTTGGCCTTTTTGAACTTCATCCAGACAAATATTAAGTTTCTGCTTTTCAGAAGTGCCTGAAGTCTAAGCTTTTACCTAGTTAATTTTTCCACCCTTATAACATAAATAACAGTATTCTGAAACCACATTAATACGTATAAACTGAAGGAGTTGGTTTTCTTTTACGTCATTCTAACAGTAATTCCAATAGATAAGTAGTAGTTACCTGACATATTAACAGTTCCAGTGGTTTTACTACCTGCCTAGATTGGTAGGAAAAAACCGGTTTCAGTTATACATCTTATAATTGTGTTTACACTCTCTATAATCCATACTGTGCAACTTTGAACAGAAAATTAAAGTCACCCGTCTGACAAAAACCTGCAGGATCCGTAGTATATGTGGTACGGACAGAGAAAAGAAACTTCCTATAACCCCATCTGTCTCTCACATCTAAAACGACTTCTATGTCATAGTGGGGCCAGTGATCAGTGGCCATTTCAAATTATCAAAGCAATTGCTTAAATGAAATGCATCAGTCAAATGCCAAATGTTACACTAAAGAGCCAAAACAACTTTTCTTTTTGTACTTCCTTCAGCAGACGAGCAAGAAAAATAATTCTCAGCCTTAAACATGGCTTCCGGAAACAAGGCTCTGGGGAAGTCGAGACTGTTTTCGAAATTTTCTTTGCCTATTTATGAATGCTTTGTTTAAAGTCACATTTCCCCTACTCAGGGAAGCTGGGGCATATGGTAAGAAAACCCATTTGATTCACAGAAGCATGTACAGAAACTAGAAAGTTCAATGATGAGACACTCAAAGACCTTTTTGAAGAGTTACCTCAGCTGGACCTGACTCACTCCTGAAGAGACTGTTTTGTGTAATGACACTTGCCTCTCAGCATGCAAGTTCCAGAATGGTTAATGGCACAGCTCCTGCACCAGATACAGCTGAGATATCTTGGATGTTGGGTTTTATCTACAGTAAAGGCCTTTCCAGAACAGGAGCATAGACTTAGAAGGCAGTTTTGCCATAAGCTCGTTCTTCAGGATTCTGTTTTGATTTGGTAGAATTAATTTGGTCACCTCTCTTCTGCATTCAAGGGAATTTCCCATAATAGGGAAACAGTGCAGAGAAAGCAAAGCCGATTCTGCTTTCAGGGACCTCAGAACCTGCTGGACTTATCAGTCAGGGCTTCATGCTATGCAAAGGCAGCAGAACTGCTTCCAGGCTTTGAACAACCATGGGAGAAGTAGCACAGCAAACAGATTGCTTGCATACTTCAAGGGTGAAAGTTGGAGGAAAGTAAGATTAACCAAGACTCTTAAATCTATTCTCCTACACATGCCAAATCTCTTTTTTTCTCCCTTACCATGACCAAAACTCTTCTTAAGTTCAGTAAACTGTAACTATTGGTAATTTCCTGCTACCTGAGGAAAGGTACCATGTAAATTATGCCATTCTCTTCATTCCTTGAAAGAAGGAATAAAGATTCTGCAGCTATGGTAAAGCAATTTGCCAGCTGCCAGGTTTAAAAGACCCTCAATATATCCTTTGCAGCCTTTCAGAACAGTAAGCACAAGAAGATAATTTTATTTGCTAGACAACTACTTAGAAACAGTCAAGGAAACTAATCTTATTGAGACAGACTTTTGTAGGTATGCACATGCATATATGTGTGTGTATATACATATGGAATTACTTTGAAGAAAATACTAAATTGAAAAGCTATGATAAAACAAAAAAAAGCTTTTTCCTCCTATCTTGGTTCCTTCTTAGCAAAAAGAAAAACAAAGCAAGAAAACAGAAAGAAGGATTATTAAGTAACAAACTCAGTATTCTGAAGTGATAATTTTATTTTTTTATTTAAGACAGAAAAAAAATGAGGATACGCACAGGCTGAAAGGAGCCTACTGACCTAGAGGAAGATTGCTAGTAGAATTAAGCAGAATAAACAACAAGCTTTGAAGCTTCTATTTTTAATATGGCCATTGCTGAATGTAATACAAAAAAGTGCATTGTGCAGATATGGCCTTGTAACACAATATGGGAAGAGATTTTGAACCGAGTTGATAACCAGAAAAGCATAAAGGGATAAGATCTGGAGCACTAGGAAATTAAAGTTACATATATTAAAACTACCAAGCTGAGGTCTCTCAGGAATTTCTGACACAAGGTGAACTGGGAGAGAAGGACTTGTAATTCATAAACCAAATAAGAGAAAGCTCTGAGTGCATCTGTGGGCCATACGATGACGATGTGCTGCCAAAGTGATGTCCCAAATAAAGACATTCTTAGAATTACCATGAAAAGTATACCCAGGAGATATGGAGAGGAATTAATGCTGCTTTTCAAAACTCAGAGTAGATCTCACCAGTGTTCTCTGAACAATACTAATTACTCCAGGCCACCCCAAACCCATGCTTTTCCTCCTTCCTGACATGATTATTTTTAACTATGTCTTTCTTAACTCTATTTCCAATATTTAACCATATTCATGTAGACTGTACATTATATAATAATCTTCAGATTCCCTTGTTGACTTCTTCTGTGCAATATTCATTGGTAACTAGTAAGCATATACAATATTACCAGGTATCGATTTACAGTGCTGCTATATCCTATTTGACTTTATCTGCTCCTTGTTGCGTTCCTAGTGACTTGCAACTCCATTTCACTATACAGAAATAACAGAGGCTAGATTACAAAATCAAGCCAAATTTGAGGCCGTTTGTACTAAAACTATTTAATATGTTTTTTCAGTTAGGCATTGATGCACTAAAAAAAAATATTAAAAATTCCAAGCTTTCAGCACCCTCTACAGGCTAACTGTTTTGATGCAACTAAACATGTAATAGTAAAACTATTGTCACAGAATAACGGTCAGGGTTAGAAGAGATCATCTAGTCCAATTCCCCTGTGAAAGCAGGTTAACCTAAAGCAGGTTGCATAGGATCACTTCCAAGTGGGTTTTGAATATTTCCAGAGAAAGAGACTCCACAATCTATGATAATCACAACAGTAAACTTCAGTAATTACGGCTTTTTTAGAAAAAACAAGTAAACATGTAATTGCAGGCCACAAGGAATTAATTTCACTAACAAAAGAGAAAATAAGTACCCAGTGATTATGACAGCCTTTTGAAGTACTTCAAACAAGGAGAAGCACCAGAATCACTATTTTTATCCAGTCATGTCAGCTAAATTCTTATAAAAGTCAACCCCCATATACTTTTTAACGTGATCTCCTCTGTGTGGTTCTCATTAAGAAAAGGTTTCATGCTATCAGCTACTCAGAAAACAAACAGAACGTTTGCTTACCATCCCTGTTGGACAGCAAACATACAAGGCCATTAAGGCATGTGTCAGTCACTTCGGTGATGTTAGTTGCGCATCTGCCTATAGCCTGAATTGTAGCTGCAGCAAACTGTTTATCTTGGCTTCTCACATAAGTCTGAGAAAAGAGGATTTTCATTAGTCAACACATAAGTCTTGTCAACCAAAGATTTACCATATTATCCTCATAAGACAGATATACTGTATAATAAATTCAATCTAGAAAGTTACATTGCATACTAGAAGTTACACTTTTTTCATCTCATTGTCACTTTTAGAAGACATTTTCTTGCCAGCTTTGGTCCCCCATGGCCATGCAAACCTCTGATTTCAAGAAAGCTTGGGGTAGGGGGCAATTACCCCAAAACAGCAATTAATTTGTGTGCAAGGTTGGAGGAGTTGATGAGCTCTCTCTTCAGAGAGGTTTCAGTTCATTTAACCAGGAGCATCTGTGAAACATTGAATAACCTACCTGCCTGAGAACCAGTACCTTTCAGAGAAATCCAGCCAGAGAACTGAAGCAATGAAAACAGATGTCATAAGCAAAGAGGAAAGAAAGAAGGACAGATACTGTTTCACAATATAGGCAGAACATCTTGTTGATACATATGCAGTTACTGGAGATAATTCTATTTGATCACATGACTTACAGAAATGAGGTTCGGCAATAAATGCTAATGGCCAAATATTGCTAAAACTAAGACGTCATCACGTAGTGACTTACAGTGTCAGTCAAGTTGGTAGAATTTGTTTTAAAGAATTGATTGAGATTTTCTCATCACTTTTGGGTTTTTTGGTAGCTGGAAGGAGAGTGAGAAACAAAACACTGGAACTCCTTTGCACATATAAAAGCTCCATTACCCATTATGATCTAAGACACTTTCATTTTCATTCTGGGAACATTTTATCCTGGAAAAGACTTTAACTTGAAAAATGTAAGACTGAGAATCTAGATGAAACATCCAAAAATGGCAACTGGCCAACAGAGAGCATTTCATACAAAAAGAATACACTTCTGCACAAACCTGAAATTCTCGAAGCAGAGTTGAAATGTTGGCTTCATTTGCTAAATTTGTCAAGATTTCAAGCTACAAGAAAAAAAACAAATATTTTATCAAACACTAAAATAAAATATTATAAACAATACCACATATACACTATACTTTTATTGTATATAAATAAAATATAATACTACTAAAAATACCACTTAGAATTCAATAGAGTATACCAGATTTCAGTATAAACTGGTAGCAGCATTGCACTCAGGAGGAATATTCTCCTTGCAAGTACACGCAAGGTTTTCAAAGCAAGACTCTAGGGTTCAGTGATGCATCTTCTACAAGCTCTACCTTTAGTGTTGCATTGTACATCAAATGGGCTTGAAATACTTCTGGCAGTATGGTTTCCAATGTTATACAACAGGCTTTAGTGTGTAAGAACCACATGACACGATAAGAAGAAATAATGGAAATCACAACTGCAGCTGGGGAGAAATAAAGTGTCCATGATATTCAGATGAACCGCAATAGAAGACCTTTAAACTCAGGAAAGAAACATTTGCATCTATGAGACTTCTCAGATCTTAATCAACATCAACAACATCAGAACCTGAAAAGCCTCTTCCTTTGTTCCTGGTGAACAAGATTATAATACACAACACTTGGCATACATTATTAAGATGCTATGCTTCTAGGCCATTTTAATTTTGAAGAAGAAAGAATTCTAATATAATCTGAATGAGGTAAACTAAAGAAAAAGACAACACTGTCTCTGTAAAGGGAAGTCATGCCTCAGAAATCTGTTGGTATTTTTTGAGTTGGATGCACACAGACAAGGACACTTAATTAATACACTCCATCTGTACTGTAGAAGTAATTTGTAAGACTTGTCACGAAAGGTTCTTAAAGATACATATCTAGCATAGCACACAAAGCAAGTGGATAAATGAAAGACAGGAATAGGCAGGAAGGAAAAAAAAGAGACTATTTTACAGTACAGGAAGGCTATCAATGGAATCCCACAAATACCTTTCTTGTTTTTTTGATTTTCAACATATTTATATATGAACTATGAAAGTAGTGAGAAGACAGGTGACAGTTTTCAGTTGATGCTACAGTTTTCAGAGAAGTGAAGACAAAGGCTGACTAAGAAAAACTGCATAAAAACTTCAAATATTAGGTGACTGGTTGATAAAATGGCAAAAAAAATTCAACACAGATAAACGTAAAGTAATACTCGTAATTGGCGAAAAACCTTAACTTTACAGAAAATTATAGGTTCTGAGCAGATTACTACTAACTATAACTGAGAATTTGTGGTTAAAACAGGTAACTCCATGAAAATATAAGCTCAATGCTAAGCAGTGATCAAAAAAGCAAACTTGATGTTGGGAAAGAAACTTGAGAACAAAACAGAAATCTAAATAGTGCAGCAGAATTCTAGGGTGCTCCTACACCTTACATACTGCCATAGGTCTCATCCTCCAGTCTTAAAGCAGATAGGACAGAACCATGAGCATACAGTGTGGAGAAAAGCACAAGATTTTCTCATGTATGTAACAGTGCAGGTTGTCCTAAATTTTTCAGCCACCAAGAAAGAACTGAGACAATGAAAGGAAAAATCACAATTTCTGCTTCTCCACCTCCTCACCATTGTATTATCAATTAATATGGGAGTTTAAATATATCAACTTTCATTTATTTCAAGAGTGACTTTTCCTGGATAACACTAAGTTTTACTAGTATTTCTGAGAGTTTCCATAATCATTAAATGTGGTGAAGATCTTTTTGCCTCCAACTGCCTCAAATTTACTTGGATTTAATGTTAGACTAATAAAAATATGACGGGCTGGGCACAGGCATCTTGGACTGCACCACTCTGCACATGTAATGAGGGCGCAACATCGATCTAAAATGAAAATAAGGTAAAAACTATATTTCTTTAAGAAACCTGTACCTTCCACTCCTAACACAAGTGCCTATGACAATCTAAAGCAAAACAAGAGAAAAGACACATAATAGTAGACAATTTTTTAGCTATTGTTTTGTCAAGGATTTCACGTTTGTTAGACTAAGAATAGAGAAAACAAGAAGACGACAGTCTAAAACAGGCATTGAGATCTGGCCTTGAGGAAAGCCTGAAGTACTTCTCATGTCAAATGCTGACTTCAAAAGAAATCTGGGACTCTAAAACTGTCCCATTTTGTTCAGGGAAACAGATTTAAACTATTTTTAAGCTAACAGTACCAAAGACTGTGATTCTATTTCTCTTCATTTAAGAAAATTCTTTGTCCCACGAAAACAGTCAAACTCTAAATATTGGGATGGCTGGTTAGATAAAAATAGTAATGCTCTGCATCAATGGAAGGTACCAAAAGCTGTAGCGGAAAACATAGCCCATCTGCCATCTACAATATGGTAACAAGGGAACTTTCAGATAGCCTGACAAGCCTGAAGGACACTTGTGGAGTTAACCAAAAGCTAGAACGCTACACTTTTCAGTGAAAAAAAGGAACAGCACAGAATGCTTTGTCTCATATCAGTACAAGAAAATCTTACCTTCTTGTTGCAAACAGATTTGTCCAGCAGTATACAGACAAATTTGCTTTTAAACTCACCTTCAGTGTTTTGATCATTGTTGGATCAGTTGATCTAACATAGAAACTCTTCAAATAAGGTTCAAACATGCCCTGAAAAGAAGAACATACTTAAGCAGCTCACCTATGTTTCATGTAAAACGTGAACTAGAAAATTCTAAATAGGGTATATACCTTTCTCTGAATTGACATAGTGGCAATATTTTGTAGAACAATATACTGCACCTCCCTAGAATGTGAAAAGAAAAACAAGAGTTATTCTGCAAAATTTCAAATATATAGAATATGCAAAATACATATAGAATAATACAACATGTCAAAGAAAGACTAATTCTATTTGAATCCAAAGTCAGTTATACATGATGACACAAACATACAAGGAAAAAGCTTATTGCCAACTGCTACAAGTTCTTTATCTGCTTCACAGGAATATGCATGATGAAACCAGGCTCTCATTTTTAAAAACCTCAACATGCAAAAAAATCTCTGACACCAGTGCAATGGTGCAATGCTTCTTGTAGGCCTTGGGTCTTTGTTTAAACCAAAAATTCATTTAAAATATCACCATTCTGGCATCTCCAGAAATAGCTCACAAAAACCTTACATTTTGTTCACCATCTTGAAATTTAAATATTTCAGGATGACACAGCTGAGAATAAAAACACATAGGCTTTATCTGTAGTGTGGAAATGACTGCAGTACTTATAAGAACAGCTAATCCTTGCACAACTAGCAAGAATTGCTATGACTTTTTGGGTCTTAAAAAAATTTCCTGGCAATTCTCAGAAAGGGCCAAGGTCTCCTGTGACTTAAAGAGTATACACTGGCAGGCATATGCGTCTATCAAAAAGCAGCACTTTAACATAATACACTGTCAAGATACAGACAACAGAATTATGTAATATTCTAAACACGAAAACATTAAACATGTTTGGAGGATATTCTCATCATTAATGTATTAGTTTAAAAGCCTCAGCAGGAGTAAGCAAAAAGAAATCCGGGTAGTAGTCTAAAGCTTTTAAACTACAGAGTTTCTGCCACCAATTGCTTAAAAACTAAGTAATAATTTACATGCAATTTTTCTGAACCATGGGTGCTCTAATTCTTTCATGATACAAATCACATCCTAATAAAGAAATCATCACATCCATTATCTCCTCTTATTCAAAACTGCCTAATAGCCCTGTGATAATTACAGCTGTTGCTTACAAAGAAAAGTAATAATAGAGAAGTACTTAATATACTTTAAACCTATTTTTATGTAATTCTTACATAGGTACACAGAAATAGTCAGCCGCACATGAAGAACCAAGACTGGAAGTTGCTATGAAATGTTCTTGCAGGCACTCTCACCCTAACTAGATTACAGCATATTTGACATTAATTTAAAGGCCATAGGCATATAACTTCAAGGGCAAACAGCAAAACTTATTTCAAAGTGGCTATAATAGCAGAAATGTTTCACACAGACTGGTAAGAGAGAACAGACAAGCCATTCAACATAGGAAAATTAGAAGACTAGCATCATTTAAGGCAGTAGTTGAGGTACAGGAAAGATGTGGCTTTTCTTCTGATGAAATTTGAGTATAAATCAGCAATAAACAACATGCAAAAATAATCCTTTCAGCCTGTGAGTATGAGTTTAGTTCCATACATTACCTGTACATATGTCAAGCTGCTTTAGCCATTTTACTTATCTTTGTATAAAGAGAATGGGAAGCATACTGTATTGTAAAACCAAATACAAAAATAACAGTGATTCATTTTTATCTGAAATAAAAGCATGAATACTCTACCAAGCCAAATTTTACTTCTTTACTAATTTTTAAATGAAAGAGACATTAGCCTTGGATGAGCTGCAGAAATTTACAGAGAAACAGCTCTATGGTGCCTGGGCTTACAAAACTTTAAACCCATCTAAGACAAGCCATCTTGTCAGACAAAACAAAAATGATCCTTTTTTTAAAATCTTTTTGTCTGTTCGGTGTGACCAACCAATAAATCATTTTCACAGCAAAGTTCTAGCCAAAAATATGTTTAGTTAGAAAGTTATTCTGAAAACATCTCAATATTGTGTTTCCTATCACCCCTTCAAGGCTTTTCATACAGATACAGGGAAGTTCAAAATCTAAAAACTCAGGGGGAAAAAATACCCTCTTTTATTCAGCAAATACTGGCATAATATGTCAAAACTATCAAACACTAAGAATAAAAGACTATTATTAATCTTATGAAATATGTGGCCAGTGAGACCCTTCATAGGAAAGTATACAAGGCCACATTGAAGATGATAAAGTAAAAATGAGATGTCCAGAAGGAAATACAAACTTGTTATTCAAAAACAGTTCAAGGATTAAGGAAACATAGCAGGTTGCAGCAGCATCAAGTGGTATTTTAACAAATATGTTTCTTAGTTTCTCTGTCAACAAGAAGTCTTCAGTATAAAGTGCAGGAAAAGAAAACACACATCTGCAGACTTCTTTAGTGCCTAGAAAGGCAGTAAGGAACTCCAATATAATTAAATTTCCAAAAACTTCCAATAATTAAAAAAAATCAAAAAACTACGCAAACTAGTTAGTACTGCTACTATTTGTACGCTAACTAGGCAGCCATGATTCTTCTCAGAATGAAAGTCATAATTAAGAATGAAACACTTACTATATTGAATGATCACTGGATGTGATACTGAAAATGATGAAATTATTTTTAATGATTATGATTTCTTGAGAAAAATTTAGTATTACAGGGCAATTTAGAAATGAAACTCTAATAGTGCAATAATTATATTCTTATACCTATGGCTAAACAAGTATGTTCAAAAAACTCCCACGAAAAAATTAGACAAGGCAATGTAAAGTACAGACTTGACCTACCTATTACTACGAAGTAAACGCACCAACGACTTCGAAACAATACCAGCTTCAGATTTTGGTGCCAAATGCCAGTAAAGCTGTGCAACTGCCATTACCACCTAAAAGAAGAACATTCAGAACAGCACATTAACTTCAAATCGTCATACATATCTATCACATTTGCTTCAGACCTGCAGAACTACCAATTCACTCTTCTTCAGAAAGCAAACTGCATAGCCATGTTCTTTGAAATCAACAAAGTAGATTGGGGTAAAAACATCAGAAGAAAGGTATTTTTATTTCTAAAATCAAAGCTAATTAAGTACCTCTCATTCCTCCCAGAATTTATTGTATAATATACAGAACGACAGAGGAAAAGGGGCAAAGAGAGAAAAAAAATGTAAGTAATTCAAATTGCAAACTGCTATCATCCTTAATAAGTCAGTATTGCTAACATTAGCTGTACAAATTAATGAGGAAATACTATTTAAAAATTCTGCAAATTTTGTGCTTTTATTTTTATTAAATACAGGTTCAACATTACCTATTATTTAGTTTCCACTTAATATCTTTCATTCCATTATTCTATTATGTAATTTATAAAATGACAGCTGCCTTTACTAGCAACTTCTAAACTCTCAAATCCAAGAGAAAGTAAAAACTACAGGGTTGTATACAAACACTAAGGCTAGTGAAAAGCAGAAGACTGAGATATAAGCAACATAAAACCCATACTTTTTTTTTTCTTTTCAAATTTTCTCTGAAGTAAAAGATAAATTATGAAGTTTATGTTAAAGTCACGTCACAACCTTCCCTACCATACTGTCATGGTCAACTTTCTGTTCAAAACAAAACAAATCATAGAAAGGAAACTCCAAGTAAAGTCATCATGGTAAGACTTCATTTGGTATCTTAAATCTTCATACCGATGAAACAAAAATTATTATTGAACAATAAAAAGTGAATAAAAACAACTGAAAAGAGGAAATAACTGGAAGGTTTTTAGCAATATACTACAGGGATTTTTTTATTACTGACAAAAATCTAAAGTCAAAGAGAAAGCAATTAATTTAATTGCTGGTAAATTCTGTGAATGGTACAAAAATTGGTGTAATAGCAATGCAAAGAAGCATGATTTCACATGACAAACTGCACTTAAACACCTCAGTTAACTTTAATATCAGAAAGTTAAGGACTATAAATGTGAGAATCAATACCATACTTAACAGTTATAAAGAAAATTATTTATGGAATATGGAAGATATGCAACTGAAACTTTTCTAAGTACAGTATGCAGGAAAACATACCTAATACACTTGTTCTTTGTGTGAGATGAGGAAATACCGTATAGACATTAAACAGTAATTTTAGCAAGAGGCTGTCTTCTAACAGAATTATTATCATTAAACTGTATTCAATTTCTTTCCAAAGTCTGCTGGCAGATTATAAGTGGTTATGAAAAGAGTTAGACATTAGTTGGAGTCTAGAAATACAGAACCATACAATCATTTAGGTTGGAAAAGACCTTTAAGATCAACAAGTCCAACCATAAACCACAGTGAAGTCCACTAAACCATGTCCCTAAGCACCACATCTTCACATCTTTTAAACGCTTCTAGGGATGGTGACTCTATCACTTCCCTGGGCAGCCTGTTCCAACGCTTGACAACCCATCCAGTGAGGAAATTCTTCCTAATATCCAATTTAATCCTTCCCTGGAGCAACTTGAGGGCCTTTACTCTTGTCCTATCACTTCTTACATGGGAAAAGAGACCAACCTCCACCTTGCTACAACCTCTTTCCAGGTACTTGTAGAGAGTGATAAAGTCTCCCCTCAGCCTCCTCTTCTCCAGGCTAAACAACCCCAGTTGCCTCAGTCATTCCTCATCACATTGTGCTCTAGACTCTTCATCATCTTTGTTGCCCTTCTCTGGACTTGCTCCAATACCTTAGTATCTTTCTTGTACTGAGGGGACCAAAAGAAAACACAGTATTTGAGTGTGGCCTCACCAGTGCCAAGTACAGGGAGGCAAACACTTCCCTAGTCCTGCTGGCCACATTAT